GATACTAAAAAGTCAATCGTGACAACTATTGAATGATGGTCGGGAAATATTGTTAGACCTGCTATCAAATGTTGTGTTAGCGTTAAGATTTGCACGAGTGAATATGTTGTTCCTGACACGTAACATTGACAATGTAATAGAAAAGGGCCATTATGCTCTAGCGCATTATCTTTAATAATTAATTTTTTAGATAATTAACATTATAAGTATCTTAAAAGTAGCGTGACACTGGCCTTGGAACAATATCACTTAGTGTTTTGTCAGCTTTGTTATGACTGTTGTATATTTCGCCAAAATAATAATATAAAAATAGAAATTAAATAGAAAAAAGTAACTAAATTAAACAAATAAATAAAAACGTTGAATTGAATTTAGCAAAAGAATTGAAAAGGGATACATGAATTGAATCTGTAGGTTTTCGTTCCTTTTACATTTATGTGTGTGTTTGTTATGATTGTATGTGATTGATCATAGTGCATACATATGTATGTTAATTCAAAATACATTTATGTGTGCGTTTGATAATCTAACAAGTGTATGTTTGTGTTCACGTTTATTTGGTTTTGTTAAATATTCATTTATGTGTGTTTGTTCATAATACATGTGTGTTTCATCAAAATACGTTTGTTTGAGTGTTTTTTCATTATAACTGTGTGTACGTGTTTTTTCATTTTATGTGTTTCAGTGTTTGATATTTGTACACGTAGCGTGCTATGTATGTTCTCTCTACATGCATGTGCGTTTCCACTGTTACATAATATTTCCATCACCACGACAAAGTGAATTATTTGAAAGGAATCAGAAGTCAATATTCTATATAAATCATTTTCAATGAATTCTCCAGTAATTTATTGTCCCATTAATGAGAGAAAAACGTGTTCCTTCGTGAACGATATTGCATTTATACACGACATCAGTGCATACAAAATTCATTACTATGGTCATTGTCCTTTATGTATGGCCATTAATTATTAAATACTAATATTATCAATACTCAGTTTCTGGATTTGCGAAAGGGATTTATAACATTAATGACATAACCACTGATCAGGTTTTACCCGGTCCAAGCCTATGAATTTCCAGGTTTATGATTTACATACCCTCTAACAGTATACATTCAGGTGTATGATAAGTCGGGTTTATTATTAACACACCATCTAACAGTATACATTCAGGGGTATGATAAGTCGGGTTTATGATTCACACACCATCTAACAGTATACATTCAGGTGTATGATAAGTCGGGTTTATGATTCACACACCATCTAACAGTATACATTCAGGTGTATGATAAGTACTCGTTTGGCAGATTTGTTTTGTATTCATTGATGCTGAATTTATTTTAGAGCTTATAGTGACTGCAATCATGGACACTACATACGCTTCTCCTTTCTAGTTCTTTACTCATAACATGATCAGCAAGGATAGCTTACCACTGGAAGTGTAAGTGTGACGATGGTCGCTATCAATGATCTCATTGGTAAATATGCTATTTCCTCCTGTGATATGAAAGATGATGTTTTGTTTATTATCATCATTCTTTTCTCGCCATTTCTTTGTCGCTATCTCGATTTTAGCTTCATAATATACACAATTTATTAGTTATTTAATTAGAAATTAATTCAAGACTCCCCAAATTTTAGAAATTTATACGTTTAAAGAGATTTTTTGCATTCCCCTTTTCGTTTCAAGAATAGTCTAGCCTAAATTTGGATTTCAAACCCTTTGTCCCCTAGCGTAATCAATTAGTCCAAGATGGACAAACAGTTGTATGGTGCAGTGTTAATCCTTCCTGACATACTGTATCTATTACCTAACTTTATAACTGCCATCACAAGTGTGTGTCAAACATTCACACCCTTCAAGGACGTGACGTCACTTGGATTTTCATGTCAAATGTCGTCGTTGATACAGGAGACACTGACATCGATTTTGAGTTCAAATTGCGGTTGGACACTTTAATATGCTCTTCTTGTTTTTTCCCCAATTGGATGATTTACACAACAAAATAACAGTATACCTTCAGTAGGATATTTTACTCAATAACATTATATCTTCAGGGACCGGGACTCATTATATTCTGACAAGTGAATTTTGCTCCTTAAAATGTCTCATAAAAAGGGTAGATTTATTTCAACTTCGTCAAACGCACAGAATGTGTTGGTAGATTGTCATAACATCAATACTTGAAAAGTGGGCCTAGTGACTACTCTGTGATTTAAGCTGAGACAGTTTTCCTGATTTTTGCCGCAGGAAACTCCTATTTATCAACGGAAACGAAACGCCTTAAAAGACATCAACACAAATATTCTGAAGAGCTACATGCAGAGTAAACGTAGCAGGTGATGACTGTGACGTCAACGGCAATAAAATGACCTGCGTTTTATCCCTTTTTAGATTTGTTACTAATATTGTTAAACAAACAAATGGATTAACACGTACATGTAGCTTCTCTAATTACTAGGCGGGGTATAATTACCGTTGCCATAGGATAGAGAAAATTATTAAAATTCACAGAGATATTAAATAAAACACACAACACGGCCCTACAACATCCTGATTGTACGATTGTGACTACAAAGACTCAATATATCAAGTCAGATTTCATAAATATAGTTTTAACGTAGAATCGTCAGTGAAGGAATTTGAGTACATTTTGGACTCTTTTTCATCACAAACATTAATAAATGTATGTAATACTTTATTATTTTTTGTTAAAAGAAGGCGATTTTTTATTTGTTTTGACGCGAACCGATGGTGAATGCAATGCTCTTTCTGACGTCACAACGTGTTTTGTTACGCATACGACATAGTTATCAAAACTACGGCCAATGTGCTTTAACATATAGTCTAAATAGACTTTGGCAACACATGAACTACCTCTAACACAAAACCTACAAAGACTGGGACAGCACCTTAACGGCCTCTTAAACAAAAAACGTAGGCATCAGAAAAAGAAAATATAAGATCAAGCTCGTGGTCATGTGACATGTACGGTGACGATCTGTTTGGAGGTTTGAAGTCGCCATGTCATTGCTACGACCTGCTATTAGCTATATTTCGATTATACCAACACTATGTTAGTCCCACATTTATGATATATATCACAGTTTTCCTCTGATGAACTCTTTCCTTTTTATCCTTAGGGACCAAGCAAAAAGGACAAACCCGTAATTCTAACAGGTCGATATCACACTGTCTCTGGAAAAGCAAATGTCATCGCTGTCATTTTTACGGCGCAATATACATCTGTTTGCACGTGTCTCTTCACGCGCTTATCAATATTAAACATACAGCAGTAAAGCATATTTTTTGTTACTGTGTAAATGGCTTTTGGTACAATAATAACATACATAAACATTTCTTAGTTTTGATATGTCTAAATATTCTGTATAGTCATGTCATATCTGAAGATTTCGTACAGTCATGGCAATGGACGTTCTCGAATATCTATGACATATCTGAAGATTTTGAACAGACATGATATGTCTAAAGATATTATACATGAAACTTATAATGCTATCTTTTTTTCCCCTGAAACTGATGGGTGAAACAAACAACTTTAACAGTATGACTGTTTAAATAGATTTACACCAATGTGTATGAGGTCCTTATATCTAGGACAGATTCGCGAGAAAAGCAAAGCTTACACTGTGAAGTCGTTTCTTCCATTGTTCCCTCCCTTTCTTTCCCCAAAAGGGAATGGTATAATGTGACCGGGCGGAATGCTGTGCTTGGTGCTTTGGGCATGGCATTTCAGTTAGATAGCACTATAATGTCGGGATCAGGTCCGCGCTATCACAAGGAGGCGAGAACAACAACATATCCTGTCTCCTGCACATACATACGCAAGTACGCATACACAACACACATGGAAGCACGTCCTTAATTGGCCTTAGCTGTAAATATGTAATAGGACGTTAAACAAAATTTAACCAAACCGAACCTTTCCCCAAACGCAAGTTATCAAGCAGTTTGTCAGGAGGTTTGTCTACTGTAGTACAGATAGGTCAAGCCTTTAATGTCATTAAACCACATAGGTATTTAATCACAAGATTTCCCGTCACCTTTCATAATTTTTTGTGTAAAAGAGGAATTGGAATGACAAAATATGCAGAAATACAAGGAAATGTCAACAGTAAGAAAACGTATGTTTATTTAAAATGAATTAGACTCCCGGTTACACATATACAGTATTTGCGTATTGTTTTAAATAAAATATATGTGTAGAATCCCCATGATAAAGCGGTCCCGTCCATATTCCAAACAAACACATACATACATCGATATAGAGAGAAATATCATGTCAATGACGGCCCAGTCCAGATTCTATATATTTATATAAAAATCCCATGACACATTTTCTCAGTCCAGATTTAATATATGTATATAGAAATACCATGACATACCGTCCTAATCTAGATTCTATATACATGTATATATCTATATAAAAATCCCATGAACATCGTCCTAGTCCAGATTCTATTCATCCTTATACATTCTCATTACACACCCAGCCCCGTTGAGACTATGTATATCCATATGAAAGTACTACGACACATCGTCCTAGTCAAGGTTTTGATATCTATATAGAAATCCAACGACACATCGTTCTAGTCCAGATTCTTAATATCTATATAGAAATCACACGACACATTTTTCTTAGTTCAGATTTTTATTTATCTATACTTAAAGCTCACGACCAACCATCCAAGTGCAGATTCTTTATGTCTATATAAAAATCCCGTAACACATCGTCCTAGTCCATATTCTATATGTCTTTATGGAAATCCAACGACCAACGGTCCAGTCAAGATTCTATATATATCTATATAAAAATCCAATGACACACCGCTCTAGTCCAGATGCCTCAGAGAAAGTTGCCTGGAATGAATCATAACAGTTTATTATCCAATGAAAGCCTAGTTGGGGAGAATGCCACGAGTACTTGTTACCAACCCAACACACGCTATATGTGTTACAGGTAATTGCAAGGTCAGGGAACTCTGCCGAGGTACAAAACCACACGGACGTCTTGTGGCGATGGACTGCAGAAAAGCTGTCGCACTAGGTGTACCTCTTTGTAGTTAAACCTCTCCATAGTCTAGTCCTGTCATTCATCATTTTCATTATACGCTGACTAGATAACAAAATAAGACGACTGGGTTATTCAGGACTGCGACCGGCCATCCTCATTATGATTAGAGTCTGAGATTTCAAATTATACGTGATTGTCTTTGTTGCCTGTGACGGCTGTAGAGAGGCACAGAGCGGCGGACAGCCTCAGTAGCAGTACGCGTTGATCCAATCAGTGGAATTGTAACAGACTACAGGTGCAGGTGAGTGTGTTTTTTAAACCAGTTATTAATAATCTAAATATTAATGATGTCCTCTTTAATTTACTAGGAAAGTAATGAGCATGCATTTTAACATGAAATACACGGATGGGTCGCCACACATGTTTAAGATTTTACAAATAGAACTGTTTTTACATGAAATTGTCTAAATGTATGTATTCCCATATTCCCATATTGCAAATACAACAAGATTTTGGTCGTGCTTTTATCTGTGAATTATATCAGTTCGCTTAAGCGGATCATACGCACTTGTTCGACTCAGAGTGCATGCACATTATGAATTTATATGTCGTAGAGAGTACCGTCCGCATTCTTCCCTTGACTTAATGGTATTTTAATGTAGCTTTTGTCTAAGCAATGAAAAGATTATACCATTGTATGACAATGATATTCTACATCTGCCTCTCCGGCGTAATAAGGAGACAGAGTATTGGCCACTGTCCAGTAGATATAAACATGAAACCCTGATAGCGTATTTACACATAATAAGGTTGACGGTGAGAGATAAGTTTTAAGACATATTTTAGCCAGGTGGAACTAATATATAAGATGCATTTAAACTGCCTGTTAAATTATGTATATTCAATGACCCCAATATGAAATCGGAAATCAAATTTGTGATTTATGTAATTTTAATCTAATAAACTAATAGTCAAAAATAATGTCTTCATAAATATAGTTTTATTGTCTTGCAACATGCCAATCGCTTTTGCGACCAAACGGATTTCTACGAAATGACAACATATCTAAAGTTCATTCAATTTGCTGTAGAGAGCCACACAAGCCACAGACCAAGATGATAGTGATAGGGGCAATGTGAATGCTCAGGAATCATAGTAAAATGCCCGATTAACATGTCTTTCACTGATATGTATATGTTAAACCAAGGAATGAATAAATCAACTTTGAATAAAGTGCTCTTTCGTAACATCTATGTATATTTTCTACAAAGCTAGACATGTTATAAACATCATACCGCATTTCAGTACCAATGATTACAACATGTCTAGCGCGTTTATGACGTCACTGAATGTTATGAAATGGCACATCATCTAAAGTTATTTATCGATTTAGGTTACTTCGCCTTTGTTTTCTAATTTATAATCTGCTGAAATATATCACCCAAGAATTTTACGATGATTTTAGTGGTTTCACATGGCAACTTCTATATTGTTTTGAGGTGGGATTGCCTCTCCACAGCCAGTAAAAGCGAAATCAAACTCAGCATGACTTAGATATACAAATGAATGTCGTTTTGTAGTGCTCAGTTGGGTCGCAGAAGAGATCGACAAGATATAAGTCCGATGAGCTACTTTTATGAAGACATCAGCCTTAAACTTTATTACAGATTCAGTTAACGTCGTGTACAATTTTCATAGCTAAGGTTCAAACAAGTTCAATTCAATATATTCCTGAAATATATCCGACGTCCTTAAATGACCTTAGCTGTTAATAGGATGTTAAACAAAATTAAACCAAACCAAACCGAATTACGATGTTCAATTGGGTCTTTGAATATGTCTTTTTTCAGAGGTTGAAAGTTTGAATGACTGTACAATCTTTTAGAGGTCATGTTGAACCTTACATATAGACGCAATCTCATACAATCAAAATAGATAAAACAACAGTTTGATTTGAAACTAGTTGAATACACAAAACAATAAACCGGTTTTCCCGTTTCCTGACATGGTGTTATTGGATATATTGACTTAATCGGTGGCTTGTTCAGTGGTGTATCTCCCACTACTACAGCCCGGTATTGAAATTAATGCCTAGTGCTGTCTGTGTCTGCACTAGGAAACATCGCCTGGCGCATCAGTTTGTTTAGCAGAGTCTCGATCCATACGCATCAGGAACTACAAATATTGTCCGGACTAATGGATCAACGGACTCTCCCACTCGCCTTTTACCTTTGTTTTTAGTACCTGTTGAAACGTGAAATCTGCACAAAAAATCACTCTGCATACACTCGAATAGCTATGAAAACTATATTTGCTGTACGGGCAATATATATCCGTCTGACCCAATAGCGTAAAACAGCAGTTTATATTTAATTGCGATTTAACATTTGTTTTGATTTCCTTTTGATATGTGTTATGCATGCATACAAAATGTATGTTTAATGACGCGTAAATTGTATCTTTTACATGCAAAATGTGCTGCGTTAATCTATATAGAGCTGTTTATATAATTGCGAAACATACGAATTTGTTGAATGCAATATAATTTTAACTTCATACAAAAGTGCATTTTGTAACAGACTTTGCAAGTCGTTCAATGATGAAACAAAAAATTAACATGATGCATAGTAAATGGTTCTATACTTCACAATGCGACAATGGTGTTTTATTGTCCTAGGAATCGATTGTTTTTTGTCACAACTGTCTGGAATACTTTGTTTGATTGATGTGGATTACGTCCTTGTTCCCGTTATACATATATGCAGTCAAGCCTTTGTTAAAATAACATTATCCTGGTAAGGATTAGGGTTCGTAAGAACTTATGAGACATCATACATATGTATGCGTAAGCGTTAGAACCATCAGAAAACACGTTGGCATTTTCTGTTATGATACTCCATCTCCTGTTCTGTTTTAATTAATATACTTCATTTCATCTGGCACATATTCTAACTTTGGGAACAAGCTCTCCGATGGGAAACAATCCTGCCCAACAATAAACGTTACTCAAGGATCCTGGCACCACTGCTAAAAACCAAAGCTATTCGTTTAGATCCTCTTTTTCTGGCATCATTATAGCTTGGATAAATTATTTTGGAAAAGAAAAGTAAATCATGAAGGTCTTTTATGAATAAATGAAGATAAATTAAACAAAAAGTAGTTAACCATAGTTTTTTGAGTATTGAAACATCTCCGGATCCTTGGCTTGGCAAGGATTCGAACCCTGGACTTCAAATTGTTATACTGTCAGTCTTACCGATTTTGCTATCTTGTCATCGGAAGTGTCACGGACCAGCAGTGCTACAGTTTTATCTGCAACGAAAACAAGAGGAGGTGTTACTGTATGCACGAAAAATCATAGCGCAGACTCTATACTAATGTAAATAAGATAATAAGCGTACCGAAGGACAATTATAAAAACGTATTTTATACGAGTAAGAGTTCACACTTTGACCAATATCTTTATAGATCTAAATCATGCTACAAAATATTTAGGAAGAAGAACAGATTGTTGATGTATGTTGAAACCCGTTGTCAGAGTTAAGTAGGTGTGTTCTATCTGGCTATATAAATATAAGGCTGATAGGACCGCAGCCTACACACCAATTACTGGCAATAACTGACGGCGGTAAAGTCAATTTGTAGACATTCAAAATGGCTGACGTAACCGGTAGTGGACACATTATGTTGTTTACTTTGGGAATATTTAAACCGGAAGTAGATAATAGTGGCTTAGAGATACATGTTTGGCCCCCGCATTTGTATTATAGGCTCAGACAATTAAGGAATTGATTTTTCTGACTTCGGGATTTTGTTTGAACACGCATCACAGATCGTGTTACAGTTATCTCCTCAGCTGTTGACAGATAGACGGCCCCTGCATTGTTACATATAAACTGGAAATATATACTCTTCTTCCCATTTCATTAATTAATATTTCATTTCTTTATTGGAAAATATTGAAAAATGACATGATACTGTTTTTTTTACTTGTATTATAGTTTTCATGCTACTCCCAAGTCAATTGCGTAATACAGTAAATCAATGTAGGTATTCCTGTAATCTGATATATCCCGTCCAGTGGTTACTATTAACAACAGATAATTTTCCTAGGTCCCCAACCTCTCTCCAAGGCTTCAATGGGGTATCATTCATAATGCACGTACGTGGTAATGCCACGACGGCGTTACATAACCAGTGTTCATATCAAAAAACAGAAATAAATATTTCGCGTGTCTGTTCCAATTACATGTATACACTTGCATGTTGGCATTTTGCTGTTTATCTAAAAATATATTTACATGGGGTTTTCTTTCTTTATAGAACATATTTGTGGTTTGGTGATAAGTCGTGATTTTAACAAACAAAAAAACATTGACAGGGAATATTTCGCGTATTTGTTAGATAAGAATAAGATATCGTCTATTTCTTTCTTGATTATTACCCCTCTTGAGCATTTACGTACCGAAAATATTTTTGTAAACGTGGTAGTTAACGTACACTGTAATATTGTTCAAAATGTCCTTCATACCAACACTATCCCTTGTATAACGGGGCCATATGTGATCATATGTGATTGAGTATTGTATCTTTCGACCAGCCAGTCTCGCTAACATCGTCTGTATTGATGGTCAGTCAATCAATTCTCTTATACAATCCGTTACCAGCATTCAATGCGATGGTTAGAGTAAATGAAGGTCGTTTACTGATTGAATTCATCACAACAATAACATTTTCTAGTATATGCTTCCAGCGGTTAACGTTGCGGCCTCATTAGTGTGGCAAATACTAATACTAAAAACGGGAAATATTTATTTTTAAATGATGTTGGGAAAAAATGGCTCCGAAAAATTATGTTACTTTCGGAAAAAAATGTGTGAAAAGTGTGTTTTCGAAGTCTACTGATTATACATTAGCATGTACCATTTTTTTTTAAAACATTTTTTCCAAATGTATACGGTGGTTCTTTCGGTACATACAATATGCAGATCCTTTCGGCACACATCATATGGAGGTCCTTTTGGCACAAACAGAAGTCCTTGGTAGTATTGTCATACTATTTTCTTAATACAATATGGTGGGATCGGGGCATCTACCTAGAAATACCGTGTACCCGATCATTACTACGACAGGTAACTCATGTTTGAATCATCATGAACTCAACAATGAATGTGGTAAGGACCAGTTTATATGTATGCAACAAGGGCGTCAGCAATTATTCATCTTTTGCATATTAGAACGAATGATCCATAAGTCGTTCTGATGTAGTCAAGTCTATATATATATAATCTTACATATTAT